CTCTGTCAATATTAAATTAAATTAGATTAGAAACAATTTTAATTGCAAGAACAATTAAGTCGAATTTTTTTCGTGGAAAAAATGATGGATATATCATTTATTAAACTAAAAAAAACACAACATCTGGCATTTATATTATTATATTTTTGCTTAAATTAAAACTCAATTGACGCCATTCATCGCCGACTAGATTTTTTATAAAACAAAATAAATAAAACAAGATCTAACAGTCATAAAAAATGCAAAAACAACAAGTTTTCGGCAAGTTACCTTGCCAACAACTAGTGTAAATATTTTTATTATTATTGTCTCGGTAACAAGTCGTTTGAAAATAAACAAACAAAAGTAAAAACCGCCAACTAATTGAAATTCCTCCCTCTCTTGCCCTTTTACCTTGAAACTGCTCCCGGAAAACGCCAAAAGGGACAACACGTGATCCATTGTTTCACGCACAACATTCACGTTCTTGAACGCACCATCACCATTAACACGACGAAGACGCGCACGAAACGACAGAGGCATGAACGGGCGGCGTCCGAGCCGACTTTCGGGGGCGGTTACCACCTCCCGGAATTACCGGACATTTTGTGCGGTTTCCGGGTGAAAAAACTGCGAAAATCTCTTACCGACGAAGGTTTTTTTTAACGTTATGCAACATGACTGAAATTCAGAAACTGCTAGCACAGCTAGGTGGAAACGTGAGCCACTGGTATCCATTGACGTCAATGCAAAGCTTTCTCTCTCGGTGATACGATGACTCGTTGGTTAGGGCGTCCCAATTATACATGAAACGGTAGAAATTATTCACTGAAGACGTTTCTCGATGGCACGTCACGGAACGGCGAAAAAAATACACTGCCGCTTCTCTAGAATAAATATTTAAAAGACGTGTGTACTATAAATAATATTTGAACGAGGAGTGTTTACAAAAATTCTAGCATGTGTTTTGTTATTTTGCGCTGGTAATAAAATAAAAGCGAATTTTTTATAATTTCCGGTGTTCTGGATTTTTTCCTAACTAAATATCAAGTCCGGGAGTGTCAAGAGTCGAAATTTTATTGTCATTTTCAAAACAATAGGTTTTATCGCCTTTTTATGCCAGTAGGACTTGAGTCCGGTTAAATCCAGTAAAGTTCGGTGTAAAATTTTTACTATTTTAGGTGTAGTTACTTATCAAGTACTAGAACATGATTTATTACATACTTTAAAACTCTAATATTTATAAATTTGCATTATGCTATAAACTGTGTCAATATACAAATGTATATTTACACAAAAAAATAAAATTTTGAATGCAACGGGTGTTTATTTAAAGGCGTGATAGTTGGCGGTGATGTGATTGTGTTGTGAACGGACCACAATTTTAAATACGCCCGTAGAGATGTCAAATGTCAGATTAATAACTTTCAATACGATGGTTCGTTCACAATCAAACTTCTTTCATGGATAGCTTTGACGCCAAATTAAAAAAAACACACCCGTTATAAGTAAATCTAAAAATAATTTAAAGAATTTTTGAGACGTAGAAAAATAAATATCAATAAAAAACTACTAACTAAAGCAATGCAAAAGATAAGATACCTACCTAATAAAAATATTTAAATGAAATGTTTTCCAAGATAATTATTAAGATTAAAAAATTAACTACCTTTAAAAAATGAAGATAATGAAATAAAAATCAAATTCTTGAATTAAGAAATCAGAGTATTAATTATGCAATCAATTTAGGGAAGGGGGAAATTACGATCCTGAAACGAGAATTTAAACCCCAAAGAAAAACACACTTTTTAAAAGAAAGTAAAGATCTTAAAAATGCTCGTGAAATCTTGAGGGGAAACAGAAGAAAAAGTTGGAAAAGAACGTAATTTTGAAAAATCAAAAAAAAGCAAAGAAAAACTGACAATGCAAAACTACAGAAAACATTTTTTTATTTATTTACAATTTGAATTGAAATGTCACAAACTAAATAAAGCGTAGTACCAATAACAAAACGACTCGTGTTTAAACATTTACCTGTTTTGCTAAGTGATAAAGTGGCTCAAAGGATTAAAAAGCAATAACAAAATAAAATGCATCAAATTAAACATTTTGCAAAGCTCATCCACAAAAATAAATATTTTCAACGAAACATCAATTTGGCTTTTAATATTTCCGTTGACTTTTTAACAACGTGCGTAAATAGCGCGGAAGTAGTTAACCTAAATTTAGTTTTTCGTTAGTTTACAAAATTAATTAAATCGTCGCAATGTTTACTTTAGAATAAACTTTATTATATACAGAACGAATCTAAACAGATGTTTCACATTCGGTAAAATGGTACATATCGTGAGTCAAAATGATAAAACCACTAAAATACCATAAAAAAATCATTGTCGTCAGTCGATTAGATAAAATACAATTTATTTATTTATATCAATTACAATTCAGTTACAAAATCGGTTTTTTCCCATGTACGCCGAAGAGTTGACGTGTAAAAACCCTCAAAATATGAATTATCGACACATTTAACTATTTATAGAACTGGAGTACGTCAAACAGTGCGTATGACCCCAACAATAAACAAATAATTGGATACGAGGACAAAGATTTCAAATTAAGCGCCAAACTACCAGCGCCCTCTAGTGACAATAAAACGAACAAGTCCTGAAACGGTTCTAAGACTTTAAATTGAGAAGTTTCCAGGAAGTATCAACGATGTTTTCTTGTAAACTATAAAAAGTGAAACTATTGATTGATGTTGATGGCTCCAGATTGATTGACAATTCTTTGACTTGACGTCATCGTCAATTCGAGTCAATGGACGACTTGTAATAATTTATGGAAAAATAAAACAGTGTATTTTGATATTTGAGATATACGAGGCGCCGTCAAAAATTCCGAAATCGTCTCACTTGAGGGAAAAAACCGTGCGATAATTGGTTATTACCGGTTTCGAAGTGAGAAAACAATTTAATTGGTTCTGGTTTTAACAACACGTGAAGTTCGCTTCGAAAACGTGTCACAAATTTGAAAAGATTAAAAAAGCGAATTCCTCCGGTGCATTTGCGATGATTTCTTACCGAGCATTGCGCTCCGGAGCGAGAGAGAGAAGAAAAAAATGGTTTTGAAAAGTGTCACGTGACTCTCGATTGACGTCAATGATGACCTCCGAGTTCCTAACAGTTGGATATGGTCGGTTTCTGCTCCAAATCCGAAGACCTTCCACGACGCTTGATTTTAAACACACGCAAAGGAACGTCGTCGTCCACAAGAAACAAAATGATTAAATTCGAGTGATGGAAAAATTTTCGTTTAAAAAAAAATTCGGATTGAGATATTTGAGTCATGACTGAAACATACCGGAATTGAAACTGAACGTGAGTCAGTTAAGGTGTAATTAGTTTTTTCGTCGGAAAAGCTAATTAAGTCATTCGAAAATTATGGGAGTGACACGTAATGGCCGCGGTTATGCAAAGGTGTGGAAATTGAAGCCTTGGAAAGGCAAGAAAGATCTAGAGGAATTACATCAGAAAGAAGTTAATTACAGAATTTTCAGAATAATTTGAAATTACCAATCACTGAAAATTGCAAATTACTCGCTTTAGCTTTGTTTCTTAAAAAAATAAGTATGAAATAATTATTAATACAGGCCCCTCTTCAAAATTACATAAAAATGTTTATAATCAAAATAATGATGAACATGGGACTGGGATTTTAAGCCATTGTTTTTTAATCCGAATTTAATTCCAAAAATTATAAATTTCAATTCCAAATTCCTGATATCTAATCCATTTAAATCGGAATATGAAAGAAAATTTTGCATTGAATTTGAAAATAATATCGGTTTAAAAATTTTGACGGAAAAATCGTGGATTTTAATTTTTCAAACAAGAATTTTTAAACTTAAAATTTAAGTCAATAAATGGAAATATTGGTCCTGAATTTTTTTAGCTTGAAAGTCACACCAAGATCTCAATACTTTTAATTAAAACTTTGAAACAAAAATATCTATAGGTACTCAAAATTCACTAACTAAAAAAAAACAATTAAAAAGAAAAATACAATGCACAGCAAAAAAAAATCATTTGATACCTGCTCATAACACAGAAAAGATATTTGTATTTTATTAATAAATCAAAGTGTGTAAAAAAATAGCTTAATTCTTTCAACGAAAAAAAAATGTTTATATAAAATGTAGCTTTTTTTATAGTCTGAATTTCAATTCCAAAGATCGAAAATTAGAATTAAAAATTTCTGATATCTAATCATTGCGAATTCGAATCTGGAGATGTCAGAAAATTTTAAATCTGAATTGAATGACCACCAATGCAGCTTGAAAATTTCGGTTGGAAAATGGTGGAAATTAGAATTTCAAATAAGAATTTTTGAACTCATAATTTAAATCAACGAATGAAAATATTAGTTTCGAGTTTTTTAGGTTAAAAATCACATTTGTAATTAAAATGTTAAGCAAAAACATTTATACTCAAAATTCAAAAAGTAGAAAATATTTGATGTGGATCCTGAAAAAAAACACCAGAAAAAAAATTAATACATTGAAAAGTCAAAGAATTTCATTTGTCTGCTCATAATACAAAAAAATATTTCTTAGTATTTATTAATAAATCAAAGTGCGTTAAAGAAAAAAAAATGTTTAATACTTTCAACAATTAAAAAAATTAAAATAGTATGAAAAAATTTCATTTTTTGTCCTTTACTTTTTTCTTCGAACTAAGTTTGTGCTAGCTGTAAATAAAAAAATGTCATTTGATTTGGTTTTTATTAAAATTTGGAGACGCTTATGATTGCAACTGGGTCCAACAAATGAGAGTAAAAAGTGTCCACTTATCGCTTATGTAAAAAAAAGACAATTAAATGTTTTTTACAGTTGTAACAACAACAAATTTAGTAATCGCGCTACCTCTGGTTGTTATTAGTGGCGCCATCATGCGAGAAATCGTGAAACTATCAGCAATGTTAATCACTATTACAGTGCTACAGCTAGTCGCACGTGCATTTACCTTTTTATTAGCTTTAGTTCCGTTTTTTGTTGAGCGCTTCTCTCCGGAAAGAAACTGTAAAATAAAAAAATCAATTCTTTTATCACCAACACAATAAATACTAAAAGTTTTAATTCTATTTATTTACTTATTTATTTATATAAAAAGGGTACAAAAATAAAATATCACAGGTATAATAATTGAAACGAATTATCTTCCCAACAGTCTAAAATTTTCTACGTCATTGTTATCATAATACAGTTCATTGCCTCCCCGGAGCCTACTGATAACACTCCGGCAACAATCAAGCCGTACTATAATTTCAAACAAGATAAAAAGACAAACGAGCGCAAAAACAAAAATAACAAAACTCCGCAACGTCGCAATCGAACTCTCGATTTTGTCATTATTATTCTCGATTTTCCTCTCGACATATCGCTCAAGTTCGTCCTTTTGCACCCAAACTTCCTCCGATTTTTTCGTAGTAGTAACAATTTGAGTGGTGGTACCCCTGGTCGAATATCCCGGTACTTCACTGCACCCAATCCCATGCACAGCCACACTCGTGTAATTCCTCGCCGCAAATTTAATCCTCGAATCGTTCAATTCGTGGATAATTCGAGTCAAATCGTCACAAAACCACGGATTTCCATTCAAATCGATCAACTCCAAATGGGGCAAATGTCGCTTGATTTCAACAACGTTCAACTGAGTCAAAGAATTCAAACTTAGATTCAAACTCCTCAAATTGAAAAAAGTTAAATTGTAACTCGCATCAAAATGGTCCAAATTGTTCGCAGCCAAATCAAGAAATCTCAATTGGGCCAAACCGTGCCATTTCTCCGGCTCAACATTCAACATATTCCACGCCAAAGTCAGATTATTCAAATTGGCCAAAGGCAAAAACAGATCAGACGCGATTTTGCCAATTTCGTTGCGTTCCAAATTCAAATATTCCAAATTTGTGAGGTTGGCAAACGCCAGGTTTTGTAATTTCTCGATCTGGTTATTCCCCAAATTCAAGATTTTCAGGCTTGCCAAATTGGAAAAGACAAAATCCTCGATGACTTCGATTCGATTATTGCTCAAATCAAGCTTCTCTAGACGTTCCAAATCGATAAAAATATTTTTTTCCAACTTTGTGATATTATTGTGGTCCAAGAGAAGCTCTTGGAGGCACAAAAGTGACACAAAGGCCCCGTTTTCGACTTCTTTGATCTGTTTTCCGCTCAATTTTAGCGAAATTATTGCTTCAGAATCATAAGTAACAAACATATTTTTCGTGAGTTTATTTATTGTGTTGAATGTGAATTCAACACTAGAGCCTTGCCATCCTGGCGTCGCAGGACTAAAAGGGATGCGATTTCCCTGATAGTGAATTATCGAATCGAAAAAACGCACTCGTTGTTCATTAGGGATTGTACATTCTAGGGCTTTGCCCTCGTAGCACAAAAGTACTACCAAAATTATTGAAACTATGCCTCGCATCTGCAAAAACAAGAAAAGTGGGCGATTTAATCAATTATTTTTCGATTTGTGTTTGAAATTGGCGTTAAATTGAATTATTTTACGACGTACCTTAATCAGTTTTCGTGTCCGTGGATTGGAAACAACTACGATATGTCGAGAAATTTATCACAATGACCAGAGTTCTGTTTATTTTCTAATCGCAAAATTTATAGAAATGTTCCAGCAATTAAGAGATTCAATAACAGATGGTGTTTACATGCAAATGCGAGTTAAATTTAGATTTGTTTAATGGGTAAGACAGATCCGTGTAAATATTGGGTGAGTCATTGGGGACGCAAGGAGCCGTTTGTGGGCCTATATTGCACCCTATTATTTAATTTTTTTGTAAAAAAGAGCAAAGAAAAAATAAGAACACCTTTAAATACGAGAAAAATTAAACATTTTTCAATTGGAGAACAAAATTATGCCGGAAAATGTATTAATTTCATAACATAAATTCAATTTTTTTTTTAACAAAAGGTTTAGTGTTGGGAATTTTATTAATTATTTTCTATTTTTGCCAAATAATGTGACATCGATAAAGTTTTATTTAATTAACGACAATTAAAAATTTGGATTTTTATATTAAATTCGTACAAACTAACTTTTTTACATAATTTTTGAAAAAAAAAAAAAAATTAAAAACCCCCAAAAATTCCAAGAAGTACGAAATATTTAAAATTTAATTAACTCTTAACTTCTTCCACTGTCAAATTAAACTTAATAGATTATCAATTATACCGAGTGATCAAAAATGACTGTTTAAGTTGACAATAAGTACTGATTTTTATTTTTAAATAGTAGGTACACTGCACAAGCTTGTTTGTCAAAAAACAGTCAAATAAAACCATATCTATTTTAGGTAAAAGTGTTGCAAACATACAAAAAAAAAGTTCATAATATTGTTATCAACTCAGTCTTTCTTCAACACCCGGTATTTATTCTTCTTCTTACAAATCTCCGAAAATATCAATAAGTAAATAGATACAGGGTGCGCCAGAACACGCGCCCCAGAGAAAATTTTCAAGTAAGGTAAGATACCAGGAACATGAAAAAAATGTTTAAAAAATTCTAACTGTCAAAAAATTTTGACATTTATTTTTTTTAATTTGACATTCTTTTATATCTATTTAATGATATTGATGATCTTGTATATGTTTTTTTACTATTATTTAGTAAAGGGACAAAATTTTTTCTCTGGGGCGCGAGTTCTGGCGCACCCTGTATACAACATTAAAAAAATCTTTAATTTTTTTAAATCTTAAATCTTAAAAAATCCCCCAATGCAATTCAAGAAATTTCCAGATTTCCCCGAAAGTTCGAAAAATTCTCCAAAACCATCAAATAAGAATTTTTTTATTGCTTTGTTACTTTGGATAATAATGCCTTTTTTAACTATTTTTTTAAAATACTAAACTTCTTTTTCATTTCTTTCCGAATCTATTGCAAAAAAACAAATTTTAAAATTTTTCAGTTTCATTTTCAAGTGTATAGATGTTTTTACAACATATTTTAAATTAAAACTCAGAAAAAATCAATGGAACGAAATTTCAAACGGTATTAGGTACATCATTTTGCAAAAACCTCAATAATAAAATCCAAAATTACTTAAATGAGTCACTAAATCCTGGAACACCAAAAAAATCCCTTTTATACATCCTCCTCCATTTTTTTTTCATCGTTGATTGCCTTCAAAATCCTGAATAAAACTCAACAGGGAATAAAATGTATTATTCCCCCGTTTTTGATTAATAATATGGTACTTTATTACTTTGAGAATAAAATACATAAATGAAACACGATTTGTAGTAATTGTACAGTTGCGGAACTAAAATATTTCGGACAGTATTGTCATTTTCATAATGTAAACTCTAAAACAACCTTTACATTTTCAACCTTTTCATTTTTTACTCTTGTCATGTTTACGTCATTTTGACTTATTTACTTTCAAAAATAGCGTCACCGACAGAAAAGTTTAATTGTCAAATGTCAGTCATGATGACAGTAAAAGGTAGTTTACACTGAACTTTTTGAATGACAGAAATTTGAATTCCGCAATTGTGCACTTAAAAAAACTGGAATTGAATCTTTTGATAACCGTCATTATTTAATTATGTATTATGTTATGTATTAATTATGTTAATTTTCTCTGTTGGGAGAAAAGTTGTTGTATGCACCTCTGAAATAAACATCGTTAATCCCGAGAATTCTCGGGATTGAAATAAATAGTTGTTTATTCCCTTCATAAATAACTATTATTATAGACACAAAAAATATTTTTGTCGCATCGTGAGCGATAATTCGTCCACCTAACCGCAAATTGTCACCATATTTCACTCCTATTATGCACTTTATCTCTGAAATAGATACCAATAACAGTTGCGCTAGCCCATAATTGAATATTAATCTAAATTTTCACTGTACTTTGAAGGTTAAACACTTTTTTGCCTTCATACATATCTTTCTATTTTTATTGTAATAAATTACAATTATCATGTTGCTACTGCACCGTTTCCAACACAAAAACGAGCTTATAGATCGGCATTTATTATTTACTTATCCTAATCGATAGCAGTCCTAGTAACAGTCACACTTTCACTTAATTTTCCTCCGGGAAATGACCAAAACCGATTTTACCCATTCGTAAACAATGAAATAATTCGTATTTTGGTCGGAATTCCGACAAGTCCGAAAATAAATCTTTAATTAAAATGCATGGTAGCGACTATAAACATCTCCATTTGCGATTTGAGAAGAAACAATTCAGGGAATGGTTAACGTAAAAAAAGGTCAAGAGAATGTTGTGACGCAAACGAATCAATTCCAATCGATTCAATTGAGACTTTAAATTGTTTCAACTCGAATTAAAGATCCTACCGTTATGAGGCAGTCCAGAAGGGGTGTATTTTCTTGTCTTTTCGCCGGCTCGTTGGTGTTTTTCTCATCCTAGAAAAACAAACATTTTTCAGAACTTAATTTCCCAAAAAAGTGCATCATTTATTGTATTCAAATCACGAAAACTTGTTTACGTTTGAAACAAAAGACTAGTACCAGATCCTTGTTTGGCGCATAACGGATTTGTTCTAGGATTAAAATGGAAAAAATAAATGTCGTCGCTCAATTATTGTTATTTAAACAAGACAAAAGCAAGTGGGATTCGCGTTATCGCCACCATGTGTTCCACTCCAAAAAAACAATAATTTACATGAGTTATTTACGAGCAAAGCCTGGAGGTTTACAATTTTATGACACATTGTTTCAAGACTGTTATTGCGTTTTTATGTTTTACAGTAAAATTGAATTTCTAGAAGGGGGGCGTCGAAAAATTTATTCGTGGATGAAATTAATTTAATCAGAAATGTTTTCGCAAGGTCGAGTAAAAAGTTGGGAAGTTGGCCACTAAAATCTGCATGAACTAATGTCAATGCCGAATTGTCTAATTTTCACGGCCAACTGATAACACCAACGTTACGCGATTCATCAAGTTGGCTTGCTTATTGTCAAATTAATGAACATTAACACAAATTTTTATTACATAAAAAACGAAGTTTGTTTTTTATTGAAATTAAGCAGACAATTTTTAAATTAACTTTCCATTAACAATATTACCTTGCTTATCGAATTGGTATGTAATATATAAAATTTGTAACAGGTCAATGCTAAAAAAGTGTGTTACTTTTAAAAACAATTTCGTACAAGTCTCAATTATCAATAATTAAATATTAAATGTTCTGGATGGGAATGTATTGACGTCATTTCCGGTGTACAAGATAAGTAAAAGAAAAAATTAACAGACCTAAATGTGTTATCAGGGATTTTAGTCGCCACCCTGTATACACGAATTGAGATAACTGATGATCTTTAGCAAATAAAACGTTAGTTTTTGGAAGGTTGATTAACGAAGTGTAAAATAATGAAATAATTTGAAATTACATACCAGAATTCTGCGAAATAAGAATGTAAACACACTTCAAAAATAACCCGGAAAAAATGCCCCTCTCAGTCATACCAACTTGACAAAAATAAATACCCAGAAAAATCGGCACTTAAAATACTAATTAGTGCAAAAACAACGCGACATTTATAAACAAAGCTGACACATTGCATTGTTTAAATAAACAAAATGTTTATTATCTCTAGGAATGTGAGAATTCCCGTTATTCTCAAATTTTGAGTAATGATTTTCCGAAATGTCATTTCCCACAGCCACCTGCATTGAGGGTGCAATGCACCTTATGTTTATCTAAACTTAACCTAACTTACATCAGTCAAAGAGTTGAGGAAAAACGACGACGAGTACGTCTGGGGCGGAAAATTCGTTGCAATTTCGGCCATGGGGCACACAACTATCACAAATTGTGTAAAAGTTTCAAACAGCGTGAACACACATAAACAAACGATGTCCCACCGCCAACTATTCATTCAAAAACACGCCTTCTGTGGGTAAAAGCCGAGTTGCGCAATGCGACTCGATTATGATTTATGGGATTTCGGTCAAATGCGAAAGTATAAATTTAGTTTTTTGCCAATTACAGACAATTAAATTAATAATAAGTTAATAACGCACTTTCGGGTTTAATAATGAAACAATGAGCAAAAAGTTGTAGTTGCCAGTTTAAACGGCCTTGATGTGCGCATCAAAAAACTTAATTACAGGTTTCTTTAATTGCAATCGGGATTTGTCGGTGGTTTCCGAGAAACCGAAGCAGCAGTTGACAGTAATTTTGGACTTCCCAGTGTCGTGTGGTAGTCTTTGACGGGTTATTGCGTCGTATTTTTTGCAAAAATGAACGATATTTTAAGAAGCCGCCAACTAAATCCTTGCGATGATTTATTCTGGAAGTCCAGAGGTTATCCAGAAAGACCTGCGGACTGGCAAGGTAATTAAAAATTAATAATTAACAATATTTCATTTATTTATTAAAAACAGATCGTGTGATAGACATGGGATATTATGATAGTAGCAGTGACGGTAAGCATTATTTTATTCATTATTTTTAATTGTAGTGACGTTAATACAACAAATAACTTGTTATCATCAAAATCAAAATAATTATTTCTGATTTATAGCAGAAACGTGCCGCAACAATAACTTAATTTATTTACAATAATTTTTAGAAGAGAGCACTGAATATGAGAGCGAATCTGAGTATGAGTCTGAATACGAGTCTGAGTATGATAGTGATTATGAGGCCCACAGCCTCAGAAGCAACCAAAACAATCCCAACGACGACGAATATTGGCGCCTCAGAGGTTGGAATCGACGTCCTGACGACTGGCGCGGTAATAAAACAACAAAATGATATTTTTTTCACAATTTCTAGCTTCCAGAACGCATTAGGAGATAAAAATAGGAGCGTTTACGCAATATACAAATGAGTTAAAAGTTTAATTATTACACTTACGTTAGAAATAAAATGAGTACAAAAGTAAAAACATCATAAATCCCTGTCCCCAATCACACTTAAAACATATTTTGCTGTCTCAATTTCCTCATCTGGTACCTCTGACGACAACTGGTAATGTTTCAACATTTGCTCTAACTGCGTGTCCAATTTCGCAGCTTTGAAAGCGATTTTTGCCTTCTGGTTGTTGGCAGAAAGAGACCACATGGTTAAAACAACAGCCGCTTTCTCCTCCCGAGTACCATTCGCTAATTTGCCTTTCAACAAATTCAGAAATTCGGCTGAAAAATAATTATTAGGTGCAATACATGATTAGTGGTACCAACCTGACGTCAACAGTCTCGACCGATTAGGTTGGTAGAACGCTATGTTCCTCAAAACCAAAAGCGCGGTTGTCCGATTCGGTAGTTTACCGGAGGTCAGAGTTAAAATTAAATCGAAAGCTTCGCCGTTTTTGGCAATGTGTGATTGCCCTTCCGGATATAGCGAAAAAATTTGCAAAAATTCCAACCACAGTGACTCGACGAAGTCCCAAGGCTTCTGTTTTTTGGTAATGGCGGGGTGTAAACGGCCTACACTATTCAAAAATGGGCTCTAAAACCGGTTTTTACTCTTTTTTGTTCAATTTTTTTTATGAACACTCACTTTACAAATTAAAATTCGACACTCTAAAACCGAGCAACAGTTTTTCAAAATGACGAAACACAGTTCAAGAACACTCAAATTGTGAGTCCTACTCACTTGCTCCATTTCCTTATCAATCAAGCTGATAATGACATGAAGTAAGGAGATTTTGGTTGGTATCTTTCGAGGCCCAGTGCCGGCAACTGAACTCGTCAACGGCAAACTTTGACAAGCTAAAAATCCCAGATTATGGGTAATTCCCCAGATTCTTCCACAAACCTGTCACACAATCCGCTGTAAATGTTGCCAACATTTTCAAAACGTTGACAAAATGGCCGTTTTGTAACGCAAACCATACCCATAATTTATGGACGAAATCGCTCAAACCCAATTGAGCAAATTTATCTTTGACACTTCCATCACCCACCATGAAATTTGTGACCAAACCCACCAACTCATCCAAGTCTTTCAACACCGGACAGACTCGTTTTTTCTCTAAAACTCGCCGCAAACAATCGACAGACTCCAAACCCAACTTGAGATGAAACTCCTTCAATTGTTTAACAATAACAGTTGGCAGGCCTGCCCCCATCGCGTACTTTTTCGCCTCGTGTGACACCCCCAATACCGACGTTAGCGCCCCCGTAATAACGGACTTCTTCCGAACTAAACCTTTCGACGCTTTCAAATCGCACAATTCGTACAAATTCAGCAAAATTTCCGCAACACACGCCCCATTTTGGGGCGAATCCAACAAATGTTGCATATGTGACGACAATGCGGTGAGTGACAACAGGGCCGAGGTCTGCAAATCTATAAAAAACAGTCGAGGGGTGAAACATGAGCGCCCCCTACCGTCAAAAGCCAGACTTTTCGCTGCCTCGCATACAGTCTCGACAAATGGTGCACCCGACTCTTCAATTGTTTCGCTCAAAATACGGAGCGCTGATTGGTCGAAATTCCCAGCCGATGTGAGGATCGACAAAAGTCGGAAAATCTCGCTCCAAAGTCGGTTACGCAAACACAACAATTGGGGCAGATGCGTATCTGAAATAACCGAAATTAGCTTAATTTTAATCATCATTAGAGTTACAAATAGCGGAAAAAGATAAAATCGTAATTCCGGCCTCGAATATCCCCTAATGACTTTCAACCGATATAAAAAAGCGCGATTCGTTTGTTACCACAGTACCAAAATGATGAAATTCGTGAGTGTTATTCAAGTTATTCTGGCTGTGGTATCATACGTAAGTAACTAAATGTCACATTGCTTCTTGCTGATTGGTTATTCAAGTATCACGTGATACAAGCCAAGGTGACTGTGACCAAATTCGAAAATTGTGACCCTAATGCCAACTATCCCATCAAAATGATGTTTAAACTAAAGCAAGGCAGCGACGGAGTACAGGTTTTGGAAGAAGGGAGTCTTTCCACCAAAGTGCCTCTCGGGAACGACATTCTTGTAACACTTTTGCCAACTTAACGACACAAAATTGATTAAAAATTATAGGACATTGCTGACGTCTCATACAAGGAGGATAATGGGGCCTATGAACACCTCATAACAATCAAAGAAAACCTCTGCGATGCTGTTAATAAATATATGGGCGAATTTATGCACGACATACAGGAAGCAGCAGGCCTTGAACGTGGAAAATGCCCCGTCCCCCCTGTATATAAACACAATTTTTGGTCCTAAATTTGACATAATTTTTCTAGGGTGACTACAAAATCAAGGATCACGTTCTAGATTTCCAAAAATTCAAATTCAAGAAAATGCCTGATGGGGAATTTTTAGCCAAAGTGAGTTTACTCGATGCGAAAACAAATGAAACTCTTAATTGTCACAATCTTGAATTTACTGTTGAAAAGTGATTTAAATAAAATACTTACGATATAGTTTTGGATTTAGTAGTGACAACAAAACTGTCAAACAATCCCTAGTGTGTAGAACAGTACCCAGGCAAGTCGTATTGACACAAACCACGTGACTTAATAAAGTACAAATAGTGGCATCCATTTCGACAATTTCACAATAGAGAGACAATTTTTTCGTATCGTTGATACTCATACTGGGATTACAAACGGCCTTAAGCAACAATTTAATAATCCCAAAATCCTGTAATTTGTAACTTAACCGCTCCTCATTCAAGTTAAATAAACTTAAAAGTAAGTTAGCTAAACTTTTAACTAAAGATGGCGCCACTGGTGCGAAAGTCTGGGCCGTACTGTTGGTACTACTACTCGAGGAGTCATCACAGCACACTTGTGACACACTTTGAGTATCAAAATTACTAATATTGAGTGTATAAAGTCGCGTCAAAATAATAACCAAGTTTTTATAAAATTGATAGTCCTCGAATAACTCAAAAATTGTAGTAACCTCGTCTTTGCCCTAAAAAAATAAACTGAAATAAAATTACTAAAAAGTGAGACTAAACCTTTCGCATGGTGTTTGGTACAAGACTGGTCAATATCATTGTCGTATCTGAATCTACAGAGTGTCCCAATAAATTCGCCAATAAGAATGCGCAATTCTCCCTTACGACACTCGCCTCTTCGTGCTCTAATAAAACACTCAGTGCCAAGTCCCACACGTGATTGTCATTTTTTAACTCTGTAACAAAAAATTAGAAAAGAAATTGACAACGATGTTACGCCAACCATTGACAATGTTGATGGCAATCATCGGTGATTTTGCCAATCCTGCAAATAATTGCAAAGCTCCAGCTCGCAATAACACATCCCTACTCGACCACAACACTAGAAAACTTTTCAACCAATCGTTTTCGTCCACGTCGAGGAAACAACGTTCCCAATTTTTGAGTTTCGAGTTGTGCATTTCGGCCACGAGATGGTTGAGTATCAAAATAACATTCCGAGTGATACTCAAACCCATGACTGAGACCGTGGCCGTTTGGCCTTTGCTACAATGAAACACGACAACCAATTCACACAAGGATGAAACCAATTCGGAGAGGAGTTTTTTCGGGTGTGAGTTAGGTTTCGAGCCGCTCCACCCCAAACTGGCCGTCAGGTGTACCAAACATGCGAGTAACGAGTCCAAATAAGCTAAAACAGTGAGTTTAATACGAGTCCATTTCAATTTAGGACTTACAAAGGTTGTAAAAGTGGCTGCTGTCGGTGAATTTTAAACAATTTGAGATTATCTCAATGACATTAATCCACGACGTTTGACCAGTTTGTGGCACTTTTGAGCCGGAATAGTTGTAATAATCCAAAAAATGTTGTTCTTGTGTGGCACACAAAGTAACCAAATTTAATAAATCCTGACTCAAGTTTTTTAAATCGTCACTTGATGACGGCTCTACTGTTATCAAATCAAGGAGACACGTTGATGGGTTTTTGAGTATTTGGATGAGCCAAAACGGTTTCTCTGAAAACAAAAATTCAAATTTAGCGCCATGACCAGTGTTGCCAACACGCTAAAATGGTTAACTGGTATGCGGTCGGGTTAGCCGCCGCTATTGTCTACATTCTCCCACAACGGGCAATTGCCACTCGCCTTGTAAATTTCTACAAATATAGGACTCTATTTGTGCCCCCAAAGACGGTAATTGTGGTTTTAGACGATATAGGTTAAGTGACATAACCTCACTTTTAAACGTCAAATAACCGGTCTAATTTCAGGCTTAAATTATGAAAAAGCACGCAAATATTTACAAAAAGGGGCCCGTGTTATCATCGCCGGTCTTAACCAACAAAAACTGGAAACAGCAAAAAAGGAATTAATCCGTTCTACGAAAAATAATAACATTTGTGTTGCGTCAGTGAATCGTTATAATAAAAACTCGCTGAAAAAATTCTCCGATCACGTAATTAACACTGAAGTGGCGATTGACGTCCTAATAAACAACAAAGGAGTAGAATTATCCGACTTGGATATCATTTTTAAGACACAAGAATTGGCAAGGGAACGATTTGAGAATCATTGTGTGAATTTTCTAGGGGCTTGTGTACCTGAAGACTTGTAAAATGGGGCCAAATGTAGCAAAAACTTCAAGACGTGACTTAGCAGCTTCGTGTCGTCCTCACTCGACGGCAGGATTTTCAAAAAGCGCGAAAATGTGCCCTCCCAAGGATGGTCCAAAAACGTGTCTTGTTTCGGTATTAATTTGCTCAAAATCACGTACCTTTAATTACAAATTAATCAAGTCATTAATAATTAATTAATTACTCACGTTGTTAATTTATTTATCGTGTTGATAACGCATTCGTGCATCGTCCCGTTTTGTACCTCAATCAAGTGGTGCCTCACGTAAAAATCAACACTAGAGGCTTGCAAAATCGCCAAATCGTACTGCCTCAACCTCAACCCCTCCACAATATTTTTCCCATCATAATCGATTCGTTTCATCGATAATAATTCGTCCAAACCGCCGAAAATTTCACAATTCCACTGTATCTGAATTGAGGTAAAACAGGACGGATCTGAAGCCAACAATTCCACGAGGCTTGCCTCATAATAATTACTAATCTCCCAGTGAGAGTTGCACACAAACGGTACGTGTAATTTCGCACTAATCAAGTGAGGCACTGAAAAATTCGCCTTAGCCGGAGTCCCTTTGATAAACTCGTTGAAACACAAGAGAAACAAAAGACAAACGGCATCGTGCCTCAACTTATCCCCGGTGAAAAACATAAATAAACCTTAAACAAGAAAGTTAATTTGGGAAAATTGCGTTTTTGTTATTTTACTTCGTAAAACATTGTAAAAAACATCGATGTTTTCAGCGAAGCACTGCCTCGCACTCGTCTGGAACAAACACAAGTTTTTCAAAATGGCGACTGCGGGAATCACCGAATCGGGATAATCCATGAAATTTTTCTCAGTCAAAGCCGACTTGACCACACTTAATAAAATCTCAATTCCATTGTGAGCCAAAAAAGTGGAATGTAGTAAAGAATCTTCCATCATGACACTGATTTGAGTCAGAGCCGATCTGCGAATCACCGGTTCGACATTCTCCGATTTTAAAAGCTCCAAAACTTGGTGCAAACTACTCGGTTGGTAGAAATGTTGCGTGGTTCGATTTTTATTAACGTCGAAAAGTCGCTGAATTTGACACACGTTGGGTAGGGCCTTGTCGTAGAGATTGTTCAGTCTTGGTAGCATCTCTTTCGAGTCGGTTTGCGCGGCTAGAAGCCAACAAAGACGCGAGAAAGCCTCCTCACGGACTTGACTTTCGTCAGTGAACAACAAACAAATATTGGCTTTGACCACCTAGGGCACAAAGTGAGCATTTCAAACCGGACGAAAATAGTGATTTACCTAACGAACTCGGAAAGATAATTTTCCCGCATGAGCACTTTGTTGCGGGAAAATTCTTTCCGTAAGAGTTAGGTACAAGGTTTTTGTAACGAATAAATCAAAATTATTTAAAAAAAGATAATTTATCATTATTTAGTCATATACTATTTGGTGAGTTGGTAGCCCTGTCCGTTATTATGGTTATGTGCATACAAAATTTGAAACACTAGCGCCATTTTTGTAATTTTTCAAGTTTATTTCTGAGAAAATTTTGAAATTTTGACGCCAGCAGAAATTAAAAAAGACATTTGTTTTATCATCTAATACCAACCGTACAACGCAATTTCGCCTAGTTCTTGTTGCATCGAGAATAAATGGAAAAATTCTGTTTGCAAGCAATGAGTAGAAAAAATCACTTACCTCACTTTTTGGCAAAAATAAAGTCTCAGCCGTGTCGGGGTCGGTAATATCGAGCAGGCTGCGGCCGAGCGATTCTTTTTTGGTCACGTGACATAACAAGACCGGTAATGAGCCGATTAACGCCTCGACTATTTTATCCCAAATATCACCCGAAACGAGTATTTTACACTTAATTAAGTGGATTAAAATGTTTTCGGAAGAATTACGTATCTTTAATTTAATCACAATTAATTAATTATTTTAGGTGAAATCAAGTTACCTGTGGATTGTCACTAGTCAATCCATGGCACGCTATTTCAACTAAGATTTTATTTCGACAGAGAAACAAAATCTGAGAGCCCGGCATGCCAGTCCCGGACTTGTTTAATTTGGGCCCGATTGTCTCAATTATGCGTTTTTGACATAACTTGTAGGTCTCTTCCCGGACTGTCTCTAAATTGTGCCCCAACAATTTCAAAATGACGGCTAAAAACAGCTACTATTAAATGGTCAAATCAAGTCGTCTCACTCACTTTCAAATGTTTCGGATAATGTGTCGTCGCTGGGGTAGAGGGGTAGTTTATTGGCACTTAAATCAATCACTTGTTTTACAAACGTCAAATCTTGGTGAAATTCAAGGCATGGTAGAGACTTTTCGGCCAAAATTATGCCTTCGTGGGCATTTAAACTACGATATTGCCTCATAAATTCAACGGCAGAGGTCATGCTATCACAGACGCGCTTCGTTTCGTGGTATTTTACTATAGAGTCACTGTCGAGGCCCACTTTGAAACTCTATAAAATTTTAATTAAAAAAAAGTCACCGAAAAAAACACCAGTACTTGGACATAATTGAGGAGAATATTGTACAAATCAGGATATAGTTTCAGTAATGTGACATCAACGAGACTATCAGCGAGCGAATTTTTCAAATTTCTCGGGAGAATAATCCCGGTTTGCTCCAAGGGCACAAATCGGGCCAAAAACTCGCTACAATTATGCAAAACACACAATTGAGTAACTCTATTTTGCAAATTCGAGTCGTCACCAGCGGCCTCAACTCTTCAAAAACAAAAAATTAATTAATTACACAAAAATTACACCAAAAAACCTGAAAAACTCCAAAGCGTCTCCGTAATCGACCAAAACATCATTCATTTGTCTCCGAATTTCGTGAATTTGGGGCGTCTGAGCCTCCTCAGTCCAAATGTCGGGCCCCACGACTAAATTCAACAAGTTTAAAAGCTCCTCTAGCAAGTCCAAAGCCTGATTAATGCCTCTCTGCGAAATATTAATGAGAAAAGTCAGGGGGCGGGGCTACTCACCTGATTGTGTCTCCGCCCACTTGACCTAATACTTTCCGGTTTGACACACAAAAACTTCAAAATACACCTGAAATTCATAAAACAAAAGCGGGGAAAGGAAATTTGTTGCGTTTTTAAATAGTCGACGTTTTCAAGTCGTTCGGTTTCGTCACGTGACCGGCTGGAGAGGCTTGATTTCGACCACGTGATCGGCGTCGATGCTCTTGATTGGGTCTTAAATCATATTTAGACTAAAATAATATTAATTAAAATACTCACATTTTCCTTACTTGTGGACAAACAAGGATCATTGTAGTGATTAATTCTGACTTGTAGCGCTTTTGTTAGTTGGTTTAGACAGTTGAGGACCGAATTTGTGACTCTTGTGGACGTGCAATTGTTGATTAAGTCATAAAATGCCTGAAATTTCGAAATCAGAAGAAAATTTAAGCGAAAGAAAAACTCACAGTGGTGATTGTGGGTCTTTGGAGGAAAACTTCGGCCGGAAAATCGCGTAAAAGCACGTTTGAGAAAAACTCGGCCGAGTGGAGCAACGATGCGGGTTGTGGGGGGTTTATGAGTGAATTTTCAATCGATTGTAACACTTGTCGGTCGGTTTCAATCAACATTTGCCACTTTAGAGGGTCAATTTGGTGGTTTGAATGGGGGCTATCTAATTTCCGGGGCCTGGAAACGAAAAATGAGACAAGTTTGGCTTCTTCGGAATTTTTACGTGTTGTGTTGGTGTACGGAAGCATCCTGGTGGACGAACCCCTCAATGGGGGTTGCCGTGCTCCCCACAGGCTCGGATTGACCCGTCCTGTAGCTGAGGGGCACGTCGGTCTCCAGTGGAGGCACAAACACGCTACTTCTGTCCAAAACTTGTAAAATTTCCTCGAGTTGATGGTGGTATTTGGGTTCAATGTAAGACCGGATTTGTGCGATTTCTTTTTTAAACGGTGTGGGGCCATGGTGGCTTAATAACGTCTTGCCACTTGTTGACTATAATAAATTTAAGAAAAAAAGCATTTTTTACGCAAAACTCACCTCGAGAATATGTTTAATAAGGCCGAAGACAAGGTCCTGTTTAGTACAGGGTTCAAATAAAAACCATTCAAACAATTTCGTTAAAATCTCACGACTTCGAGCCAAGGGGTTGTCGAACTCGAATCCGTGGTCCAGTTTTGAGATTATATTGAGGAGAGCCCGTTCTCGGATTTCCTGAATTTCGTGCCCTTTGAAAATTTTAGGTTAGATCAAGTTTTTGATGGAAAAACACACTTACCAAGCTTTTGGATGTGAAAAGATGATACACATTTCTCGGCCATTTAAAGTTTCTGTCGTATTGTTGTGTAAAAACTTGTAGAAAACGCAAAATCGCAAAATTAAATTGTAAACAAAACTTTCTTTGGCGGGCTTCGGTGGCGCCCTCTGCGCATTTGAAAGTTTAGTAAGTTTACAGCCAACATTACAAAAAATATTCCCCAAACATTTATTTCAAATATTTTACAAATTGTTCCTCATTTTCCATACGAGGACTCCCCAGGAAAATAAGTGGCAAAAGACGAAAAATCGGTACAAATCGTCGGTGGTTTTTATATCGAATAGCTCAAAATTCCGAAAAGTTTCGAACAAGTCTTGAAAATTGTACAACATTCTTTCAAATAGACATTTCATTGACATACTAATTTTGCAAATAAATTCGCCTACTAATTACGTGCTGTGCTTTATTTATTAAACAATTCCAAAAACAGTTAAGAATCCTTGTAGAGACGTTGCAAAACCGCGAAATATGAATATGCCGATCGCAAAATCTGTGTCAGTGTGGCCAACGACAAGGTAATAAAATTCGCCGCTTTGATAATAGTCGGTTTTTTGGTTTTCTCCAAGAAAATCATCACGATTTTGCGAATTTTGCTGTGGCAGGCGTACCAATTCGACATATACAACGAAATTCCAATCGCGTCACTCTAAAAATAATTTTTCAAAAATAGTCATTTCTGACACTTTTTTATACAGTTGTCATAACTTCATGTCCGTAGTAGCAGTAGGTGGCAACTTGCGTGGTCATTCCGCACAAATAAGTCCCTAAAACGGCAAATTGGACACTAGGAACTGGCACCTGGAATTGTCAAATTTAGGTTTAATCACAGACATGACTTTGATTGTCTTACGACTATCAGTTGGAAAAGCGTAGTGCAGATTACTATGACGCTCCCGAATAACTGGAGAAATATTCCTTTGGAGAAAATAGCCTCGACTCGCTCTGTATAACTTAATTTCAAATTAAATTAAATTAAATTAATTAACTGCACTTACTAGACAATTTTTGCGTGGTGTGTTATACACCTAACAAGGGCCCGTTTAGTGTCGTGAAAACTCCCCTCATAGTCGATTTTTGTCAAATTTTCCTTCAAAATCTCGAACTGGGCCGACGCTAGCGTGACCAATTTCCACGTCAAAATGTCAATAGCAGTGTTACAATAAGCACTGATAAAGAGACTTAGACTTTGCACAAAAAACGTGAAATAATAATGACTGGTTGTATCATAGGGGAACCAGCCCGGTAGTGGCAGAATTTTTTTTCTTTTTTCGTCAATAAAAGGCACTAAACAGTAGAAAGAGCAAGTAAAAGTGCAACAAAGCCTGTAAGCGTTAGAAATAAAAGCGCATGAACTAATCTTATCCTTGATTATTTGCACTTCCTCGAAAGGATGTCCGTAGAAGATAGGATCAGTTAGGTAATTTTCAATCTCGATTAAATCCTTACTGTAGTATTGAAAATTGAGTAATTTGCAAAGAAACGTAAAGTGGGTGAAAAAATACAGTAGGGATTCCGTGAGTTTGGACAAATCGCTCCTGTCGAAAACCATCTGAATGACCATTGTAGTGAGTTGCCCGTAAGATATTAAAAGATTGAAAAAGGCACTCAATCGGTACAAAAATTTGTATTTGTTGCCTCTTATGGGGTAAAAGCCCACAACTAGTAGAAGTTTGCGTTCTAGACAGAAAGCGTTACGCAGATCGTAATCCTGAAAAAATTTTCGTGTAAAAATTGTGCTAAAATCGATTAGTTACTTGGATCGTGAAATCCATTTCAGTGTGTGTGGTGAGAGGATATCAAACTGATTTACAATGTTTCAAAAGTGTTTCTAATGTGTTATTAAAACTTTTAATTCCGAGTCAAAGCAACCTGCAATTAGGGTAATTTGATTAATTGTAGGTTCGTGGTGGGTAATTACTGAACTCTTTGAAACCCAACAATCAATAATTTTACTAAATTAGAGGCCACTACGCTTGATGTTTGTAACAATTTAAAAATTAAATTGGCAACATTTACTACAAAACTCAAAACTTCTGGCCCTAATAAATCGGTTGCCAACTTAATTTCACTGATCAGCAGAAATTGAAAAATAAAAAACATGTTAGATGATAATCAACGATTTATCAAAAATACTTTATTGTTAGTTAACACATACAAAAACTAGTAAAGGTAATCAAGTCTTCTTTTTTGGTACTCTTAAAGACCTCTCATCGTAGTTACAAACCGGTAGATGTCGCCTAGGTCTTCCGTTCTCTCTTACTTCCTGTCTTTCTTTATTAATTTTAGTTTTTATTTCAAGCATTTCAGCGTTGTATACTTCATCTTTATCCTCATCAGCTTTCCCTTTCTTCTTTTTCACTCCATTCTTCTCCTTCTTCGCTACAATCTCTTTCATAGCGTCTGTCATCACCTCTTCAGGCTTATCTTCTTTTTGTTTATCTTTCTTCTTTACAGGTTTCTTCACTTCTCTAACATCATCTTCGTCTCTTGAGTCCAATCTGTCCCCACTGGCATTTCTTCTCTTTCTCACACCATGAAAATCAATTTCCCCATTTTTGCGAATTTCATCTTCATCTTTCTTTTTTTTCGCCGCATTCTTTTCCTTCTTCGCTGCAATTTCTTTCATGGCAGCTGTCATAACCTCTTCAGTATTATCTTCAACAACTTCTTTTTGTTTTTTATTTTTCTTCTTTGCTGTTTTCTTCACTTCTGTTATATTATCTTCGTCTCTACTATCCAATTTGTCACTACTGACATTTCTTTTTTTCACAACACCTTGGAAATCAAACGGAGTATCCACGGTTTTCCCATTTTTGCGAATTTCGTCCTCAAACAAAGAGCGGATTTTCTTATAATCTGGTTTCTCATTGAATTTTAAACTATTGACGTATTGAAAATATTTTACTAACATATCTGAAAAAAAAATGGTTAAATAAACACAAAAAAATAATTTATTTTCTAACCGGATTTTTTACTTAAACAGGTTTTTAGGAACTTTGAAACATCTTTTAAACTGTCTTCCTTCATCTGGTGGACTATTTTGGGGTCATCTAATTGTGAGTCCCAAGGGAGGGTGCCCCCCAACCAGTGGATTAAATTGTAGCCCAGGATTTCAAAATCGCCGCGTCTTGTGGGTACTAATAACAAAATTACGATTTGGAACTCCTTGAAAAAATTAAATTACCCCCTTGGTGGGCATCCCGGCTGGTGTATTCGATGGTACCATCATGGGCCTTCTTGGGGTTGGGTTTAAACTCCTTTTCTGTGCTGAACTTCGTCGCTAGACCAAAATCAACGAGATAAACCTGGTTCTTATTGGCCGAAGAGGCCCCCAGGAGGACATTCCCCCCTTTTATGTCCCCATGTATGTACCCAAAGTCATGAATATACTCCAAAACGTACGTCTGCAAATATTCATGTTATCACTCTGATAAAAAAATTAAAACGTACAATTTGCCAAGCCATTTGGAAGACTGAAACCGCCGACAGGGCCCCACTCTCCCTCCGCATTTTATCAATATCAGACCCAAATTTCTCCATTACGATAAATCGGTACTTGGCAGCCCCCACATCGTGTGACCCTGACCCTAAATAAGCCGGCATTCCGAACGTTTTCAACTTGTGTTTTTTCATGAAATCCTCAACTACAACCCCAATTTAATAGAAAATCAATTTGAGGAAAAACGCTTACTGTCGGCCTGTTTGGCATTTTTCATGTAAAAGTGCATCTCGACAAAAAGGGGGCCGTTGCCGTGAGGCTCCACTTTGACCACATAGGGGTATTTGGAGGACTTGGAAGAGGCCTCTTGAGCCTCGTAAATCTCTCCGAAGCCCCCTTTCCCGATGGAAGCCCCCAATTTCCACTGGTTTTTCCCAACATCAGTCAGGATTTCACCTGCAGGCAGCGGATCCGGCATTTTATACCCGGTTATCGCCTTTTTGCGAGGTTTTTTCACCGGTTTTGACATGTTTTTTGAGGTTAGAATTTAAAAGCAAAGAAACTCGACACAACTCAAGTCACACACACATGTAACACGCTTTAGCACTTCTTACACTTAAATTAATAACAATATTTAAATCTTTGGTGCTGATAACGATTCATTTACAGATAACTAAAAACGCGCGAAAAAATAACGGTCAAAATGACTGGAAAAGGCACCAATATTATTTCTGTCACATATAAATTCCCTAGATACGATGCAAAATTGGTGGCCTATACAATCACACAGTTCTATTAGAATATAAAAGCGAAAAGCGAACTGATAACTGGATGCGATTTTTGCTTGTCTCGGCATTTATTAATTTATTATATTATCACTTTGTTATCTCTAATTCGTTGGCGTCCACTAGATGTCGCACTAAAAATAAAACAAAACACCATCGGAATATTTCAGGAAATGTCAAACTGACAATCAACAATTGACTCGTATTAGAACTGTTTTTTCAGTTGTGATGAATCATCAATGATAAATAAATCAGTTAAGTGTGAAAAAGACAGTTAAGAGAACAAGAAACAGTTCCAGGTCTGTATTGTCAGTTTTACCTGTCACTATTTATAGCCCTTATTTGTCAATTGTGTTATTCACTGATAACAGATATCAAATTTCATTTCTAGAACGCCTGATTATCTGCAAAAATGTCGCTGTACCCCAGCCTCGAGGACATGAAAATCGACCAATTGTCAAAGGCCCAAAACGCGGCCTTGACTGGTCCGACAGCCCCCCAGAACCCGTCTCACATCACCGCTTATCCGTCCTTGGGCGACTTCATGGGGCTTGAATTGACCGAAGCTGTCATTAAGGAGAACATGCCGGAGTACCTCCAAGTTGCGCTGCCCCAATCTGTAAGTACCCCTTGCGTGGCCACAACCCCCTAATAGTGTATTCCACAGTCACAAGTCTCGGTGGGGGCCACTAGTATGATAGCCCCCTTGTCGGGCCAGTCGCTAGGGCTGCACCGCGCGCAAGTCACCCACGGCGTGCGCCAACTCACCCTCTGCAAGGACAAAGACGGCAAAGTGGGGCTCCGGGTCAAGCCGATAAACAACGGGGTTTTCGTCTGTCTTGTCGTTGACAACTCGCCGGCGGCTCTGGCGGGGCTGCGCTTCGGGGACCAGATTCTCCAAGTAAATGGGGTCAACGTCGCCGGTTTCACAATGGACAAAGTCCACGAAATGTTCAAGAAAAGTCCCGTTAATGGGATTAACCTCGTTGTGAGAGACCGGCCCTTTGAACGCACCCTCACTTTGCATAAAGACAGTGCGGGAACTGTCGGTTTTCAGTTCAAGAACGGAAAAATTACGACAATTGTGAAGGACTCGTCGGCGGCGAGAAATGGGGTTTTGACCGAGCACCAACTCTTGGAAGTCGAGGGGCAGAATGTGGTGGGGTTGAAGGACAAGCAAATCAGTAAACTGATCGAGGAGGCCGGGGAGGTGGTTACGATTACGGTTGTACCCAACTTTATCTACGACCACATGGTCAAGAAGTAAGTTGTAACAAAATTTAATATTTGATTTGAATTTCCCGCCAATTGGCCAATTTTTGGCTCCAAATTTAATTAATGTTTTTATTTTTTTTTTTTCAGGATGGCTGGTTCTCTGTTGAAAGACTTGATGGACCACTCAATCCCCAACCTTTAAAAAAATGATTGGCTACTCTTAAGCATATTTTATCTCATTATATCATGTTATTTTTATTTTATTGTTACATAAGTGCAATAATTACACGTTTGAATGAGTTGCACTGCCGTGTTAAGCACTAGAATGTTTTTATATTGTTTATTAATTACCCGGTAATGACTAAGCTGTTGCATGCATGTATTCTATAATCACTCATACATTACCAAAGAATGTCGGATTTGTGATTGAGTCTGTGCCAGAAGTGTAAAAACGTTAGTTTTATATCAACAAATAAATCAAATAAAATATTTAGCGCAACTCGAGTTTTTGATTAATTTCAAGCGGAGTGACGCAGGGAAGGATTGAAAAAAACGTGTAGGAAACATCCTATTTATATATTTATATTATAAACACATTCACACTTACATGAAGTCTGTATTTACCTACACACAGCCATTTTGATAAGTCGATGAGTAATAATGACGAAATATCAAAGAGCTGTGAAGAATATAGTTTCGAGTTGGTGAAAAATCAAAACTAAATTCCGTTCAAAACCTATGCTAGTTCATTAAAATTTGGAAACACCGAACAATTTTTCCTCAAATAAATTTCGTTGTAAATGTACAAATTTCAAGTCGAAATGGGCTATACATTGGTACAAAACGCCAGTCGTTTGATTCTTGGCCAAAAAACAAGCGAGGGGCGTAGCTGCCGACAGCTGAAACACATGAAGCACACCGTATACTATTCAACTAAGACAGCCGATCCTACCTCTACACATCTATGAATTTTAAAAATCTTTTATACAAATTTGGGTCAAGAGTTCGAAACGGCGCTTAATACAGACTTTTTGGTAGATATGTCACTAAAGCTACGAAGCATGTTTCAAAAAATATAAATACGGCGAATAAAAAACTATATTCAAACAATCGTGAGGGTGTACAGAGAATTTTAATAAACAATGCAGGCCATCTAAACACTAAACTACGCTAATTCTTGTATTTTACAATTGTATACGATAAAAAGGTCGCATTAACGACATATAAAAACTGTCCAAAAACTTCCACTAAACATTAATATAAAATAGTTAATATACGAGTATTAAATTTTCTCAACTATTCCCATTTTTGCGCTGTGGACATTCATATTTCTAAAGAACTCTAATTTAAATGGCAGTTTTGTTTTTCTTCTTTTGGTCGAACCACGGTCACTGCCAGGAATGATCCGTTAACTTTTTTTTAATTTTAACTTGTAATAATAGTTCATATACATGTATAAAAACATTTATTTCAAAGAAAAACTTATTCTTCAACTGTCCCGGGGATGGATTCCTGCCAAAAAAGAGTCACAAAAATCAACCCAAAAAACTACTCCAAACTTACGATTGGCTTTTCAGCTGTGCATTCTAATACGGGCTCGGCCGGAACCTGAAACAGTCACAAAAATCGATAAAACAGAAAAAAGTTATAGCGACATTTTTAATTTTAAAATTATCAATGAGCAATAAAAAAAATTAAAAATGTCGACTGGAAATCTCTAAAACTGGTTAGGAAGGAACGACATGTTAGTAAGAGACTCGGAGACAATCAATACAAACTCTGTTAGCACAATCAAACAAAAGATAGCCCTAGGGGAGCTACTAATCTAATCACAAAACAAAACGAAGAAAAACAAGACATTGTTAATGCAATCCAATTTTTTTTTTTCTTTTTCTATCATTTTCCACTTTATACTCTATTCACCTGTTTGATTGGTCCTTCTACTGGGGGCGGTAGCTTATCATCGTTGCTGATTGGTGACGGTAGCCCATTCGTGTTTCCATTGGTGAGAATAATTTCATTTTGTTGTTGTTGGGGGGATGGAGGTGCTGGAGGGAGTGTCTCTTCCGTGGTCGCGATCGGTTCCGGTAATGATTCAACGGGAGGGAGAGACATAGGTTCTGGGAGACTATCGGAAACTGGTTCCGGGAGGGAAGGGAGCGATTCCGTCGAGATATCCGGAAGGGAATCAGCGGGTTCGACCACCGGAACAACCGGTTCGGAAACCTCCTCGACCGGAGGTGGAGGAGACTGAACCGGAGGAAGAGGACACTCCTCCACAACGGGAGAAGCAACCTTTTCTTCTTCCGGTTCGACGACAACCTCCGGTTCCGGATCGGCTTTAGTCGATTCGGCAAACACCGTCACCGGACTGGGGGGGTTCGAGGAGGGCAAAGGCGGGGGGACCTCTTCGGTACTACGCACCTCTTTTATTTCCTCCTCCTGTTTGACTGGGGAAGGGGCAGGTTCAGGAGCTTTAGGTTCAGCGGGGACTTCTTCCGGTTGCGCTGCTGGCACGGGAGATACTTCTTCCGGTTTTGGAGGTTCTTCAGCAGGGGGTGGTGTCGCGGGTTTGGGGGGTTCTTCAGCCGGTTTCGGTGTCTCTTCTACCGGTTTTGGTGGTTCTTCAACCGGCGATTTCACTTCTTCAGGGGCAGCGACGGGTTCAGGTTCGGGGGCTGATTTGGGGGCGGGCGTTTCAGCTACAGGAGCGGCGGCTTCAGCCGGGGCTGCGGGGGTTTCAGGTGTTTTCGCCTCTTCGGGCTTGGGACCTTCAGAAGGCGGCGAAGTGGCTGTCTCCGTGGCGGTCTCCTCGGCGGCATTCTGAAAAAAATCAAATTTATATTTAAAATACACTTTTCAAAAAAATTAAGAGCAAAAATGTTTCTTAAATTTATTGGTGATTTTTGAAATTCAATAAATAACTAATACAAAATTGAAAAAAAATTGTTTTTCTCTTTTTCATAAAGATTATACCATTTTAGAAGCAATTGTTCCTTTAATTCTTTTGTAAAATTTTGATTAATCGGTCTGAGAAAACAATTTGATTCTTCGATTTAAAAATTTATAGAGATATGGGGGGTACATTAAACTGTAAAAACACCTAGAAACATTAGTCGCCCCATCAATATTTGTGAATATGTGGTAAATTTACTAAAACAATGCAAAAAGTTACTTTTTTTCTCTTTTCTTTAAATCAGTGTCGAGGGTGAAAAAAATTATAAAAGGATCTAGTAAGACATTATTATTCCAGTTTTTGACACTACACTTACATTCTCTATATGGTCATTAGTTCCTGAGATATCGATGATCAAAGACAAAAGAATCCTTTTTTATTTAATGTCAGATTTCTCAGCGACAAATTGACGTAAAGAGAATATAAAAAAAGCATATTAAAGCTGAATGAACAGGCTATCCGCCTCATGCACTGATTTAATTAAAAAAAAATCCCAAGTCTGTGGACAAAAAACAAAAAGATTTACTTTTTTTTCTCGCCCTATTTCTTAAGATTGCCTGATAACCGTAGCACAGAAAAAATGTTTGCGAGAAGATCTCAAAAAAGCTTCAAAATTTTAGATACGACCATTTTTCGATGAGATACAGCCTTTCAAAAATCAACAAAAAATGTAGGAAACATTTTTGTCCCTTTATTTTTTGGAGCACAACAAATGAAGAAAGATAAAGTTAGTTAATTATTTTTTTGTTACCAAATCGTAAATTTTATCACTTAATTAAGCCTGAAAATAGTTTTAACCGAATATTTTTACATACAAAAACAGTGTTTGAGAAAATTTAAAGAAACATTAATAAACAATAGAAAAAAAGACGATTAAACAAGACTTGAAGCCTTATTTAAAAACCTTAAAAGTGTGACTTTTTGCCTATTTCCGTGGCGTAGGTCTATAAGTCAGTATGTTGCGGTTATTTTTAGCATGCCTTAAAATAAAACCCCTGAGTGCCACAAAGAGAAAAAAAAATCAAATAGAAAAAGTACTTCACATTGAAACGACCAAAAAATTATTTCAACAATTTGCAGCTTTTTAGAATGAAATAAATAACCCCCTAATAATAGAAATTCCTCTTCGGCTGCATTCTACACCGCTGTTACACTTTTATGCAATATGATATCCAAAGTTTTGTATAACAAGCATCTGGAGTATCAATTACTTGTCTGGTAAAGTAAATAAAACCACCAACTATGATGATTCACGACAGTAAAAAGACGAGGAAAAAACGTTCGATTATCCAACAATCCAATTAGATAACAATTGAGGATGTCTGAAAATATCCTTCCATTCCTTTTGTTACCATTATTCACTCGATTTAATTGAATTAAACCGCCCCCTTGTCAGACGTAAAAGAACGACCTTGAAACGGTCGGAATTTTGTTTATTTGGCATAAAACAGTATCATCTTTCATCGACACAAACGTTTCTATTTCAAGTTGGGTGGGGTCCTCTCATTTGGACGTCATCCAGATATTAATTTAATCAATAAATAATTAAATAAGCACTCGAATCGCCCGAAAAAACATGCAATTTATTCATCCGCCCAGCAATTGTTAACATAATTACCGGATATTGATTTTATTTATTATTAGTAGTTATAGAGTAGTCTGTTTCATCTCAAGATGACACGGAATTTTCGATCGTTAGTACAATAATTTTAACAAAAAAAAATATAACAACATTGATGAATACCCTGCCAGAGTCCTCTCGTTGGAAAGCATTGACGATAATTCTGACCAAAACGGCCATCATCATCGTACAGGCCGCGCAAAAAACCAAAGGTCCCACATCACCGAACCATTGTCTAGCTATTGTTGTTACCTTTGGCTCCATGTTTCACCACAGACGATTTAAATAAATCACTCAAATGTCTCGCAAAGACCTTTCGAATTTGACTGAAGGAGAATTTGACGGCGAGGCGGTATTTATAGCCCCGTTCTTAGGCTTGGTCGCGTCTCTCTGTACACCCCATATACCCACACACCTCTCTTACTTACGCAGGAGTTACTTAAGTCAGTCTGCATCGGATTTTAGACACCACTTCCGCCACTAATTTGAATAAAACGGCCATGAGAAATACGCCAACATTGAATTTTTTTTTTTCGAAAAAATACAAATCTAGGTGTGATTGCGAACAAATTCCTCGGTTTCAGTATCAAATTACTTCACCATCTTCGTGCAAAAATAAATCGGTGTGAAACTAATGCGTAGACTGGGGTGACATTACGCGCCTTCAAGAAACTTAATTTTGTTTACAAGGACGTTTATTTGAGGCTTTTTGATGGATAAAACGCATTAAACAGGTGCGAAAAACACGACCTTCTTGCCGCTTTTATGAAAATATGCCAAAATTTTTTCGGAAGAAAAAAAATAGATCCATGCACGAGGATGAGGAATATTTTAGTGCAATGTGTTTACATACGGGGGCGATTTTACAAGCTTTTGTCCAACGACATGACAGATGTTGCGAATTATATTCGACGGGAATAAAGTGTTTGTTTTCGCTGATACGGGGGGGAGAGCCGTAACGGCCATTAAGTCGACGTAATGTGAGATTATCGAGTAAAAATAGAGCTGAGGATTGATGTGGACGTATTTAGGCAACAAAAAATCTAATCAATTAACTGGCATTTTGAAAAAAAAATAAAAATAAATAAAACATCAAACGCTAATTTACATACAGATATCCCAGCAACTTGGTAAAGTCCTTTAATAAATGTTAAGATTTCAAATTGATTGATGCTAATCTATTAAATCACCTGAAATTAGTTTCAAATATACAGTGTGTCACAAAAATAAGTTTACATGAAACACCATATAATTCTGGGCACCTTTTAATGGTTAATTTTGCTTAATTTTTAAAATAAGTTGTTTTTTTTGACGAAAACGCACTCTTTAAAAATTCATTACACAAAAACTAAGACAAATTGAAAAAAAAATTCACAAAAGTGATCACTTTTTTTAGAGTAAAAATTCTGTTTTTGCGCTATAGTGTTTATACTTTTACGATGACATTTACCAATTTTGTTTCTTTCTTGTCTTTTTCGCTGCTTCAGTAATTTATGGAGAGATACATTGTAGATCATTTTTCACTACCAACTGCACTAATTAAATTAATAAACAAATGATGTTTGCTTATAAGCGTTGTTATGATTTCATTAGTTGCAAAACGTCCTAATTATTTTGTTCATTTACTTGCTAATTATAGTGTTACTCTTGACTCTTATTCTGAATACGTTTGCAAATAAAATAGTATATGTTCATAATAATAATAATAATAATAATAATAATAATAATAATAATAATAATAATAATAATAATAATAATAATAATAATAATAATAATAAACGTTCATTTTCGCCACATCAATCACTTTTACTCCTAATAAAATAATATACTATTACTAATGCACAGAAGAAAACTACTACTACAGTGTTGCCATTTGTTAATTGTTAAATAACTTTAAAAATTTAGATAAGCTCTTTTTAGACATTGTTTTAAAGATAAACATAAACCGAAAAAATTTCAACACTCATTAGCATAATACGCACTTTTATTTACTGTTAAAATTTGTACCCAGTTATAAACACCGTAAAAAATAGTTTCTAAATTTAAATCAATTAGCTTGACATAACAACATAACAAGATTCTAATTTTATCACAACCTTGACTGACAATTTTCATAATCATAACTGTAAAAAATACGTCTGAGTCAATTTCAATTAAAAATCATATAATTTTATTCATCCCTGATCGCCATAAAAGCTCACGACTGGTTTGCAAGCCTACTAGATCCTCGTTAAAAAAATCTAAAATCGACCCACAATCGCATTCCTCGTCGCAAAATCGTAACACAAAAGACGTACCAAATCACTATTGTATTGTCTCAGGTCAGTTTTACGATTTTCCACGGTCACGCCCACGTGATACGACCGAAATACGTTCGGTGCTGCCATCTCACAATTGACATTTCAACACAATTACAGGTTTCTGCGTTGAAAAACTTATTAATAAATGGTGCGACGAGTTTTAATGACAAAAATATGTACTATACATCGAGCAATGTGGGAGTGCCCCCTTCGCATGTGAACGTTCGAATGAGTCATGCGACTGGAGGAAATGCAATTCGACGGGGAGATTCTCTTTGTTTTTATTATACGAGAGAAGAGGAAGGTTTATGTATGCGTCAGCGGTGCGATTTTTCCCCAAGATTCGATTTTTCATCAAGTGTGAAGTGATTCATTGACGGTGTTCTTTTTTTTTTCTCTCTTTACATGTGTTAAGAGATAGTGATGGTTTCCGGCACTTCCGGAACTTTTCTAACGTTTCAACGCTTATCGAAATGTGTGGAAATGGAATTTTGTTGCTGTACGACAAGGACACGATTGTGCGAAAGACATAAAACACACCTTGTTTTGTAAAAGAAAGTCGAATTTTTGTTTTATTGACTGTTGTTTCAATAATAGTAACGACGCATATTTGTACTACATATTTGCTAAAATGTTAACAGAAACAACAAATAAGGAACTTAAAAATAAATGACAACATGGATCTAATCATAATTATCAGATTTACACTGGCGCCACTGTTGTGTAAAAATACTTTTCGCAAATTTAGCATTAAGATTAAGCATTAATCTATTTTAGTAAATAAATAAAAACAGAGGCTTGAACAATTCATTTGTTTCATTTTACGAGTCCTAGGAACTATTTTTTTTTCCTACGCATTTAGAAATCCAAATTTTAAATATTTGTACTTGATCGATATTTTGGTTCATTTATTTTTGTGTTTATTTTATTGGACAATATTTTCAGA